TTCTTTCTTTTTATATGATGATTTGGGATCGATTCCTGTCTTTGTATGTCAATGGTTCATTCCTTTTTTATTGCTGAATAGTATTCCAAAAGGATGTACCCCGATCCATCCAGTTCACAGTTAAAGGATATTAGGGTTGGTTCCAGATTTGGGTGATGACTATAGCTCCTATGAACATTTGTATATGAGTTTTTGTGTGATCATAGGTTTTCATTATTCTCAAATAAATACCTAGGAGTAGAATTGCTGGTTCACATGATAAGGTTATATTTAACTTTATAAGAAATTGTCAAGCTATTTTGCAAAGTATTTGTACAATTTTGCATTCATATCAGCAATTTTGGAAGTTGTAGTTGCTCTATATTCTTGCTAGCAAATGATATTTTCAGCTTCTTAAGTTACTTATAGCCATTATAATAGGTGATTAGTTATTACCTTTGAATGTGCAATTGACTTTTTTACTTCCTTTCAGTGGATTTTTTTATAATGGCTATACCATGTGTGTAAAGAAAAGAGCTACTTCTTTCTGACATACATTTCTTGTATGTATGAATCATCTATGGTGTTTTATACCAACATTATTTCAATAAAAAATAATACAATGAATGTTTTTAATTTTAATTTGTCAGAAAGGTATATCAGACTGTGGTTCTAACTCTAATAGCTACGATAACCATTTTGTAATTAGAACTTGAATAAATAATGTTTATCAGAGCTCTAGATATATACAAAGTGATCATGGTCTTCTGATAGAGATACTAAAGTATATATTTATGTACACATATGAAAATATTTATTGTTTTTTAATTTTCTTATGGGAATATTTTATTTGCTGCTTTTATAGTTTTTTTTTTTTTAATCTGCCAATGGCTAACCCACTAGTGTACCAAATTGCTTGAGTTTCTGGACATCATAGTTAACTATAGCACTTGGGATTTCAAAGAGGCATGGAGACAAAGGACATATGACTTTTAGGACATACTGTCACAATATTTTTCTAAAAACTCCCATCATTAGTGTAAAGTAGCTGGAAATACCAAATATCAATTAAAATTCTCTTGAAGATATAGATTTTTTACTGAGCAGGGACATGAGCTAGTTAAAAGTTAGATGAAGCAAAGCAGGTACATGAAAGGCTAGAAAAGGTTCTTTGTGTGTTCAAGGAGATAATGCTTACCAGCACGGTTGTTTGCTCACAGAGTGGGAGGGGGACTTATAGGGGCTTCCAAGAAAAATTACTCTTTTTTCAAGTATTGAAATTGTTATCTCTTGGCCCTTGCTTAAGGAATGCTTGAAAAAAATGCAGTGTGTGAGTAAAATGCATTGATTGTTTTAGATACTTTTACATCAAAATTTTCCTTATAAAAATTCAAGTTTTCAGAGGAAAAATGACTATTTTATTTAGGCTTTGTATTTCTATTTTCAAAGTTTGGCATCAGACTTTTGTCTCTTACTCTTCAGCAAGATTCAAGTCACTGTATTTCATTGCTTTTCAGAAGCAAAATAGAAGAAAAAAACATTGCAAAGATTGCGATCTCTCTGTTAACATTTACTTTACTTGTCTCTATTTTTCTGTAGTGTTTTCCTAAGAATTATAATACTTTGAAAGGGAACCTGCTACTTAGATGACTGAGCGTTATTCCATATTTACACTTAGGCAACTGAATGAGCTTTTGACATTTTGTTCAAACTTGTCTGTGATTAGCTTTTCGTGTCCTCTTCCTATTGTTTCATTCCCATTAACATCCACACTAGTGACTTTCCATTAGTCATGTCACAGAATCCTTTGTGCTGCTCCAGCATCTAAGGTTCTACCTCATTAAAAAGTCAGTACTTCATGTCTTGTCTTTGGCTATAGGTCCTTCCCACTGAAATTTCCTTTCTTCTTTTTCATATTGCCAGCCTTCTTGTAAATTACACTATTTCTACATTAACACCTGTCTGTGCTGTGTCAAGAACTATGAAAGCTCTGAGATTTTACTCACAAGTTAACAAGTTGCCTGTCCTGATACAACTTAATGAGTGTTTATAGTGCTTTACATTTATTACTATTACTCATATATTCCTTTAACTTGGGCTGTTTCATTTGAGGTTGATCACTGAGATAAGGCCATCCAAACAAAAAAAGATGTGCCAGCTCTAGTCCTTGATATGTTTTGGGAGAGAATGTTAACATGATCTGGAATTTTTGTCAACCCCCTTTCTGGCACTAGGGTGGTTTCTCTTGCCAAATATTTGCCATTTGCCCCACTATTGTTAGAGTGATAGTACCAAGCTGTTCCTTTTCATCTTCTCTGAAGCCACATTGAAAAACCTTCTATTTTCGTTATTGTATTATTAGACACCCATATTTATTATTTAAGGAGCCAGGCATTTATAGGATGACTTCTTATTCTTTACCTATATGACCTACAACTTGAATTTCTAAATGTTAGGACTCTAATTCTGTTTCTCACATATTGTCCAAAACTGCCATGGAATAAACCCAAACCCCGGCTTTCAGATCTTGTCAACAGGGTAAAACAAACTCTAGCCTATGAATCTGATTTCTGAATTGTGTTCATGTTATTTCATCTGCTACCCCATTTTCTAGCTGTTGTATTAATTATTGCAATATTCCAGACCCATTTCTAGCTTATGTATTGGGGCTGAATGTTGCAGATACGGTATTATGCTCTGTTTACAGATGAGAAAATGAAGGCACAAGAAGATCAATTAAAATGCCTAAGCTCATAAAGTTAGTAAGTGAGAGAGGGCTGGATTTAAACCTGTAGCTATTTGCTTCTATAGTCTGTGCTCATAATTGCTTCACTTTACTGCTTCTTGAAATTATTGTCATATGACAGTAATAGGTGGCTGTTATTATAGTGGGGGCAATGGAGATAGTTTAAGGAAGAGTAGGTTTTAGCTAAATCTTGAAATAGGAGATAGGTTTGAATATGTGGAGAAGAAAAATCATTCCAAGGAGCACGAAATGGCTCTGTAGACATAATAAAAAACCAGTAAACGTGGTTAGTACTGAAGGTTTAGCCATTAGAACTAAAAACAAACTTGTTTTTAGTCTCGGTGTTCTTAGATTGTTTGGGTTCTTTAAAATTAATACTACTAATATTATCTTATTCACTGGGAAGATGAATTAAGATTTTCAATGGACGTGTATTAGTAAGGAAATAATATAATAAAATTCCTAGTCCTTCTTATGGAGATTTTTGGTCTGTTCATTTTTCCTCAGCTAGTTCTGCCCACACCAGTATAATTTAGTTAGTTTAACTTGTGACAAAATTGGTCCAGCAGGAAGAAGTGGTTGTATATTGAAACTCTGCCAGATTTGGAAGAAAAATGTTATTTTAAGCATTCTGGTCATCTTTGATAGAGTGACGGTCTTGTCATAGAATGGTCAAGGGGCAGGTTTATAGTCTACCATACGTGGCTTCATTATTTACAAAAACCACACACGCTACCAGAAACTAGAAATAATGTGAAAACATGTAACTCTGTCCAAAAAATATCTTGTTTATGAAACATAGTAAAAATAAGAATCTATTGAGATGGAAGACTGATTTCTTTCCTAAGCTTGGATTTGAAGAAATCTGAACTCTCCTCTGGGTTTTGTAACTAACTCAGTGTCCAAACTTAAAATATATTTAACATAATCACACATATACATTCATTTGGAATATATGTCCAAATTTGAAAAAGTGTGAAGAGTGGGGATAATAAACTGACATGAAAAGTTAGGAACTGAAAACGTTTAGGAGCTACAGAGTTGGTATAGAGTGGGCCAAGTTACACTTTCTTTATGAAATCCTTCATTTGGACTTGTGTAGATTAGCCATTTAGAATTAGCCATAGAGAATATTGAAGGTAAATTTTCTTTTTTAGAATACAGAAGGAAACTTTGTTATAATTTTTGAAGGTTCTGAATTTTTAGTCACTAGTAACTTTTAAAAAATCATCAAAAATTACATTGAAGATCATTCGTCCAAGCTAAACATTTATTTGTATAATGCCTTTTTATACAGTATCTTACCTCTTCAGAAATATGTACCATATGTTTCTCTGGACTTTTAAAATCTAGCTTCATAGCTATTTTGGAATGGGAGCTAGTCCTGAAATATGTAAAATTTTGTTATATGTGCAGTGGAATTTTGCTACATATTTTTGCACATGTTTACAAAGTCCTACATATTAATAGATACTATGTTAATTATGTTGAAAATACTTTGTTCTTGAAAAAAGATTATATAAAATGCAAAAGCAAATCCTAATTTATCTTTAAATGTACTGTATTCAAAGGCAAAGACTAGAGACTTCTAAATATTTTCATCTAAGGAACTGTTTGCAATGTTATCTAAAGAAAATTTTTTTTTAAAGGTTTTGATTTGGAAAAGAAATTCAAATTTTAATGGATTTTAATGCATTCATCATGATGAATCTATAAATTTTCTCATCTGGGTTTTATTATTTATCACTTCCTTACCTTAAAGTTTCAATTCTTCATTAATTTCTTGAGCAAAACTTACTATGATTTCAGCTGTAGCAGCACAGTCTTGTCTGACATGTGTAACTTACCACAGTTAACCATCGGAGCCTTAGGTTTTTGCACGTATACAATGGGATTATTTATTATTTAACATGTCATTTCCACATGTGTTCTTGGTACCATGCAGATAGGGATAGGTCCTTTCTTTGGAATTTTCCTATCCAGAAAAACTAGTAATATATAGATCCCCACACACATTAGATTGTAGGGTTAGAGGCCTAGAAGATGAAGAGTACTAGGAAGGATATTAATTTTATAATGATAAACAATACATAGTTTTATATAATTTATTCTAGATAGTTCTCTATTTAAATAAAGCAGAAGATAAATTTGAACTTCAGTTAATTTTATTCATCCTTTCAAAGTTGTCATGAGCATTTATTAAGAAAAAATAAGTTAATTTTGTTAAGAAAACATTAAATCTTAATAATATCTCTTTTCTTCTTTTCCTTTACAGAATATTTATGTAATTGCTCTGTGGCTGGAAGTCTGGATGCGAATCACTGCAACCAGACCACAGGACAGTGTGAATGTCACCCAGGTTATCAGGGGCTGAGCTGTGAAACCTGCAAAGAGGGCTTTTACCTGAATCACACTTCTGGGTTCTGTCTGCCATGTCACTGTAGTCCACATGGAGCCCTCAGCATACTGTGTAACAGGTAAGTGGCAGAAGGTAGAGGTGAAATTAATTTTATTTTATCAAGGGAAAAAAAAAGGTTCAGGCTCTGAAAGACCAAGCAGGTTTAAATGAAGAGGGCGGGGAGCCATAGATTTACGAAGCATAAATACTTATATTCTCTCATTTTATATATTATATTTAATGTCAAGATTTTAAAGATATAATTTATGGATTCAGTTCTTCAGATACCTGGGTGACCAAGTTTGTTTCTGATAATCTCTCTACATTTCATGGAAAAAAATTATCGAGAAAGCAGTCTGCTCTCTGGAAGTGATTATTCCCAGACATTTCCAGTGGAAATGTTCTTGTTTTGTTTATTAACATGCCACTGGCGTTTCGGGAAACGTAGTCTTTGGTTTATTTTTCCTCTTATCAAAACTCTGAGACTGTTTCTTTGCAATTCTAAGGCTTAAACTTGTTAATATTCTAATTTCTTTAACTAGCAGAGAAAAGACTAGTTTTTCTCTGTGTACCAGCATATTTCTGGGTACTAATACTAGGGTAAGCAGGAATTGTCTGAAAATTACCTTTAAAATAATATGCTATTTGAAGGTGACTTAATCTAGGAGAACAGTGCCCCGACATCCAAGGATTTGCCTTCTATTAAACTGAAAGTAATTATTCTCTGACCTCGTTTAATGTTTTTAGTGGACCCTAGTTCTAAAAGCTCAAGAGGCAATGCTATGTAATACAGGGATATGAGCTTTAGAATCAGTCTAACCTGGGTGTGGATCTAAGATCTGCCACTTAGGAGCTTTGTGCTTTCGGCAGTTGTTTCATCTCTCTGAGCCTAAGTTTCTTCCAGGGTTGTTATGAAGGTTAAAAGAGTAGAGGTATATAAAATGCCTAGTACATATTACTCAGTAAAGTGCAGGTTTCAAAGTATTATTCTTGGCTTAAATAAGGGAATGTTTTAAAAGAAGCTTTAGCTCTTTAGCAGACAAGGTTCTTTCATACTTAGCAGTAGATATTTTGTTTCTTTTTTTTTTTTTTAAAGATTTATTTGTTTATTTATACAAGCACTGGGTACAGTGAGAAGTGTGGGAGAGTGAGAGAATTCACCAGAGCCAGAGCGGGGAGCAGAGCAGGCAGAAGGACCAAAGTACACTGCTGAGGGGAGCAGCGGGTGGCAGGAGAGGTCTGCGCGCCATGTGGGACCCTCTCCAGTGGCCGGGGATCGAACTGGCACTGCAGAGGCTGCGGGCAGCTTCACAGCCCAGGGCTCAACCACTGTGCCACCAGGGGAGACCCTGTCTACTACTTCTTTTAGAACAAGATTTTGCAAACACATTTGCCTTGAGGACTTTTGGAGAAGAAGAAAATTATTAATTCTAGGTAAAACTGCTTCATTGGAGGAGAAAGAAGTAAGGAGAGGATTGAGAGAGAGTTTTGGAAGCTGAAGAGAAGGGAAAAACAGACATAGTAATATTTATATATATCTTACTGTCTTCATAGGTCTTCTACAAATTCTTCTTAACCCCATCTCCACTGAAGCTCAGACTATCCTGTTACCCTCCTTGTAGCTGTTCCTCCTCCTGGGCACGACCCCTGATTTCTTAGGCATGGCTCACTCTTTTTCTCTCTCACTGTATCTGTCATAATTCTGGATAATTTCAGTATCATCTGGATGATTCTAACAATGCTTGTTTGGCCTTTCAGTTTCTTCACCATACTTCCCATGAGTTTACCTTCATAACCTTTCTAACCTTTATTTCTTTCCTTTTCCTCGTTTATTGACTATCTTTGGCTGCAAGGATGGGCATATTAAATTTCTGAAATTGTTCCATAATTCCTTCCTATGGGTTACTGCAGAATAATGTTTAATTAAAATATTTGAAACAATATTATTTCAGAATGTCAGGCAATTTGTCAGAGCAAGCAGTGCATCACAAAAAGACATTTAAAAGGCTTTACTTAGAGGAAGTCATTAGACCCCTGATTTCTTAGGCATGGCTCACTCTTTTTCTCTCTCACTGTATCTGTCATAATTCTGGATAATTTCAGTATCATCTGGATGATTCTAACAATGCTTGTTTGGCCTTTCAGTTTCTTCACCATACTTCCCATGAGTTTACCTTCATAACCTTTCTAACCTTTATTTCTTTCCTTTTCCTCGTTTATTGACTATCTTTGGCTGCAAGGATGGGCATATTAAATTTTTGAAATTGTTCCATAATTCCTTCCTATGGGTTACTGCAGAATAATGTTTAATTAAAATATTTGAAACAATATTATTTCAGAATGTCAGGCAATTTGTCAGAGCAAGCAGTGCATCACAAAAAGACATTTAAAAGGCTTTACTTAGAGGAAGTCATTAGAAGGTAGGCTTGGGAGTTCTAAATCCAGCTCTAAGCACTGTATATCTTACTACCAGAAAGGAAGTAAATTGACATGAAACTAGAGGCACAGAAATGGGAAGCTGCAGACTATGTGCTTTGGCAAGAACATGTGGGTAAACTATAAGGAAACACCTCTAATGTTCTGCTCTGCTATAAATTATATGTGGTTGAGTTAAGAGAAAAAGGAAATTATGGGCAAGTAGTGTTATGTGGTAGAAAGGAAGTGGATTCTGAAATTACTAGACTTAGATTCCATTCTTGCTTTAGTCAGTTATTAAGTATATGACCTTGATTAATATATTTGACCTCTCCAAGCCTCAGTGTTTCTATCTGTAAAATAAGATTAATATATGTAACATGAGGGATTTTTGTGAAAATTTAAATGCTCTCTCTCTGTGCATGTGTGTGTGTGTGTGTGTGTATACCCACTTACAATGTGACTGGCATATAAATTCAGCTCAATAACTCCCTAGGAGGTGAATCTGTTTTTTTTTTTTTTTTTTTTAAAAGGTGAAGAATAGAATTGGTGACTCACAAAAAAGGAGAATTAAGTCAACTAGACTTCCAGAATTTGGTCTGAATAGAAACTGGGGTATTTGTTTCTGTTGGTAGGTAAAAGAGAAAATTACTCATTTTAGCAAAAATGTTTATTTTCTTCATTTTCATAAGAGGCCTCTTCAACCTTTTACAATTGGACATGCTGTATTTTATAATAATAATAATAACAATAATAATAATAATAATAACAACAACAACACCTAAATTAGTTGAACACATGCTAGGCACTATCCTAAGCCATTTTCTTATAGTAATTCTATTCATCCTCATAGCAACCATATCAGGTAGGCACTATTATTATTAGTCTCATTCTTACTAGAAAAAAATTTTCAAGTTAGGAAATTTGCCTAATTTATAAGCCAATGGCCAGTAAGTTAGAGAGTTGGAATTGAAATGTTTGCAATCTGGTTCTAAAGTATGTATTCCTATCCACAGTGCTGAGGTGGCTTTTCTCAAAACCTTGGATATTAACCATAGTGAGTGAGGATTGTAAGAAGCTCTGATGCTGTAGTGCAGGCTACTTGATATTTTATGGAGATTTCTCCTGATGCCCTCTGGTAATCACTAACCCTAGTGAGCTGTAGCTTGTGCTATATAAATAACGTTTTTTTGGTAGGGCTAATCCCAGTTAGTAGAAATTGAGAGCATTGGAGATCAACCCTTCACTGAATACTCATCAGTTGTAATATCCGTTATGTTGCCATATCTTTGAGATGCATCTGTTTTTGTGATTTGGGTTTTTTTTGTTTGTTTGTTTGTTTTTTATTTTTAAGTGAAGAATAGATTTGGTAACTCACAAAAGAGAGTAAACACTTTGGAGTAAAAGCATTATTACTTTTATTCTTGTCAAGAAACATATAACCCATGTGAAACTAGAAGACACAAAACTACTGGAAGCCAATATGAAACAGTTTGTAAATATATGTTAAATTTCTGGGTATTTTAAAGTAGAAAAAGAACAGGAATAAGCTGAAGTAGTAAGGGAAGGCTTTCCAGTGGAGTGGGACTAAGATGTGCCTTTCAGGTTAGATTTGTTTTATACAAAGATGAGAAGAAGACTTTATTAGGAGGAAAAAAGCATGTGAATTCAAGTGAATTTCCTAAGATTATACAATAACATGAGCCATCTGATCTCTTAACACCTACTCAAATTCTCTTTTGTTTGGCTCTCCTTGTTCTCTTTTTAAAAATAAATAAAGACGGAAAAGTGACCTCAATTCTGTCCTGATTTTCATACATCTACTGTCCATGGAACAAACAGCTGGCTTCTTAAAAATTTATTTCCCTGTTCTTCATGCCCATATATTTCAGTGGGAGTTGCCTCAGAGAGGGTAGAATTTGGCTGCAGGAGCCAGATGTAGGCTGAGCAATGTCTTTGTGTGCACACACAAAGTCCTTTATGTATTGACAGATGGCCACCCCCTCACGTCACCATTGGTGTTCCAACCTGTCTAATTGGGAAGGAGTCAAGCTAAAATATCTTACTTTTCATTTTTGCTGTTGATACATATTTCTAATGTTTTCCTGATTCGCATTTGGATATATGTTTAATAAATGAGTGGGGAAATCAGATAGCATTTATCTCAAAAGAAATATACCTAGTGGAGCCCCAATGTCTTAATGTAGTCCTTAAACTATTGTTAGGGCTGACTTTGTATGTAGATAATTATATACTGATTTAATTTTTTTAAATGTAGTCATAATAGGTTAGTTTACAACTTGCATCATTTTTGAATTGTCTGTAAGATAACAAAGAAGTTCTGTAGTGTTGTAATATCCTATTCCATAAAATCTGTGGTTGTTGTTGTACATTGTATTTTGAAATATTTATTACTTTGCATTTTTAATTATGGGAATTTGCCCTAGGACAGAGGGCAGCATTCTACTCATGAAGTAAACTTACGCTGAAATAAATGTCAAATAGAGAGATGACAAAACCTCTGAGGCTCACATTCATAGGGATCTCTGAAAATTATCTCGTGTTATAATCAGGAGTACTAGCTGCTGTGTTAACTTTGCATATAATTCTGGGAGATCAAGAAAAAGTTATTTGATCATTAGAAACAATGAATAATTGAGGAAA